AAAACTCATTACACTTCAACCAATGGACCAAGCTTCTCACAGAATACATCACATTAGAGAAAATATCATCCACCCATAAGAATAATATGTCAACCTTTACTGACACATGGAATTCATTTCTAACCACTTTTAACTTAAACCAGATACCTGGGTCCAAGGCCAAGCACATTCCCACATACTCCTAGAAATATAAGAAGCTGCTTTTATTTCATTATTGTTACTGTTGTCCATGCTACTGTTCTGAGTATATCACACCTATCAATCAAACCAGATTAACTGAGAATATAACCTACTCCCTCTACTTTTTATTCCTTTCCCTTTTTCCCCCCTTTCTTCTCTCTTTCTAATCATTTACTAATTTGTTAATTTCATTTATTTTTATGGATATGTGTATACATATATATCTGGGTATATATAAGTATGTGTATGCAAAAGTATATATTGTATTTATATAACTGAAATTGCTTCATTATTTTTCTTTTATTGTTATCTTATTATTACAATAATTCATTTTCATCCATGAGGGAGGGAGGCCAGGTCACTGTTTCCTTTCCCTTAACCTCATATAGCATATAGCATCACTGGACTGCTGACACCCTCTTAGACAAGCTCCCTCCTCAGGGTCTGGGAGCTATTTAGGAGGGGAACACACCGCACATTGGGTCAGGCCTCTCCTGTCACGGGCAGGGGCCGACCCCCTGTGCTGGTGGTTTGGGGTGGTGGCATCACCAGTACACTCCTGTTCCTTTATTGATTTGTACAGTACTGGCTGGTAGATGTTTCCTTGCAGGAAGAAAGGTTTTATGTTGTTGATTTATTATGTATAATAAAGGGCTCTTGTGAGGGGTGGGCTATGAAATAACATTTCACTTTAAAGTACACTTTAAGTGACAAATGCATAGGCCAGTTTTTCAGCATCACTTTGAGATGGGATGTTACCAATTTTGGCAATAATTCACGGGGGCAAGAGACTTGGTTTATGTGTGATTTAAAGGACACGTTTTGGTTAAAAATGTGGTTCCTCACAGCAGTGCTGGAAACCATAGCTATGTCATCTAAAGTAACTACATGGTGAGACAGCAAATTTTTAAGGTTTTCAGGCCCAAGTACAGTAACTTTGGCTTTGTTGGAGTTTAGAAGTAAGAAGTTACAGGTCATCCAGGCCTTTGTCTTTAAGACATGTTTGACGTTTGACCAAATGATCTGATTTATTCATGATCTGGTTCATAGAAAAATATTAATGGTGCTGTGGCAAAAATTTTCTTATTAAAGCTTGGTGAGTGTAGAATAAAGTCTTGATACCAAATCTGAAGGTTGTTGCACATTTATTCCATGCATGGAAGGGGCAGTCTCCGTACAGAGTGCTTAACAGTAGCAGTCTGAAAAGAGAGGCTCCTAGAACGGAGGGCTACCTCTGTTCTTATACACACACATACAAATGCAGGAAACAGATGCCCCAATAGATACAAAACAGGATACAAGTTATCTGGTTCAGCATTCACACAAAGGCAATGTTTATCTCTACAAATGTGCTGACACAGTAAACTGTCTAGTTTCACAAGCACCCAAATAACTGCATAGAATAACTACATAGAAACAGCCAATACACTAAAAAGGGTGCTGATATAAATTTCCCATCACAATGGGTATCATCTGCAATAGCAATGGAAATTTATGCTGTGCTTCCTGATAATATTGCCTAAAGGGAGCATATATAAAGTGAAGAGAATTGGACCTAACACAGAGCCCTGTGGAACGCCGTGACTAACTTTAGTCTGTGTGGAAAATTCATCATTAACATGAACAAATTGAAATCTTTCTGATTAATAAGATTTGAACCAACTTAGCGCAGTTCCTTTAATCCCAATAACATGTTCAAGTCTCTGTAGTAAGATGCTGTGATCTATGGTGTCAAAAGCAGCACTGAGATCTAAGAGGGCAAGTATGGAGACAAGTCCATTGTCTGAGGCTAGGAGAAGATTGTTGGTAACTTTCACCAATGCAGTTTCTGTACTATGATGGACTCTAAATCTTGACTGAAAATCCTCAAACAAATCATTCTTGTGCAAGTGGTCACATAACTTTATTAGAAATAAATGAGAGATTGGAAATCGGTCTATAATTAGCTACAACACATGGTTCAAGTGTAGGTTTTTTGGGTAGAGTTTTAACCTTCAAAGCCTGTGGAAGATAACCTGTTAATAGAGAGAGGTTAATCAAATTTAATATGAGCTTGTTAAGCAGAGGTTAAACATCAACAAGATTATTGACTTGTGTGGGAGTAAAGTTAAGGTGGCCTCCCTCCATTGTGTTGGCAAATGGCACTGAAGTAAATAATGGTGGAATTATTTCCTTAAATTTGGTAACAGTATTGTCAGATAGACGTCTACTGTAGAGGAATTTTTTCCCACATAGCGACAAGCAGTGCAAAGACTCCTGGGAAGTGAAAATGCTCCATTACAGGATTTGTAATAAAGTCTTTCTACAATGGGGTATTATTGTGCAAGTAAAGGATATACAAAAGTACCCCCTCTGTAATTGGCTTGGTTGTGTTATCAGTAGGTGTGCAGCATCCCCTGAGGCTTCAGACACACCAAGGTTATCAAATCACATGCTTGACAAGCTTCCTAAAATGAAAGTCACTTCCTCTTCTGAGAATTTTTGACTGCTAATAAGCATTAGATGTGTTCGATGTGTCTGCTGTTTTCTGTTCAATGTTGTACACAGTGTCCTCATTTATGAGCACACTGTGCTCTTAACATTAAGATACCATAGTTGTTTCAGTGTGCTGTCCAGTTGTTTCAGTATGAGGTGATGTGTTGGGGATAGGTATAAAGTTTCTAATCAGGAGCTTTTGCAAGACAGCGAGGAACTACTTAAAGATTAATCATTTTAATTGCCACTTTTGGGAGGTGACAGTGATGCGGTGGGTAGAGCAGTAGTCTCCCAACCGGAAGGTTGAGGTTTCATATCTCGGTGCGTGTAGTCCACATGTCGAAGTGTCCTTGGGCAAGACACTGAACACCAAGTTTCCTGTGATGGGGGCACGTATGCACATAGCGGCCTGGGGCCCTCGGTTCTAAACATAATTTCGTTGTATGTGTCACAATAAATAAATGAAGCTTCTTTTTTACAGCTCTATTAGAGAAGAAAAGGAAGTGAGGTTAAAGACTAAGTTACCATATTTTTCACCTTAGAGATAATTTGGATCCACTGACATAAAAATGTAAAAATGTCACTTGGCTGCACTGGCACTGGGTCAGTAGCTGGCTCTAAGACCACAGTTTGTGCATTATCACTACTGCATGCTTTGAACAGACGTCACACAGCCACGTGAGTTTCTGAAGCAACATCACTCTGCTGACACTTTGGTTACTTTATCAACAAGAGCAAACTAAGTTGTTACAGCAAAACACAGAAATAACTGAATAATGCTTAAAATGTAAATGCTCTATTTCAATCAAACACTCCCCAGCAGATGAAGACATCAGGACACAGGTTAATAAATCAGCAGATTCTGATTTGAAAAGTGTCATGTGAGTGCAGAACCATTATGCACAACCATTTGCTGTGTTTACCCTACCTTGACCACACACACATGGTTAGATCTCAGTACTCTGCCTGTTTACATGATAAACATCAGATAAGCAAGGCTCATTAATCTATACCCCTCTATTTCAACTTTCTTCTCTGTCTATATAGCAGCAGCAGCAGAAAAACCTCCCATATACAGTGTAAAGTGTTACTTATATCACATTTTGTGATATGATGTTACTACATGAGAGAGTAGAATTAAGCCTTGGATCTATGTGATCATATACACTACTGTACACACTTTAGCCTCCCCAAGCTTGATTTTTTTTTTTTTTTTTTTTTTTTTGCTGATCTCAGTTAATCTGTTAAACCTAAAAGGTTCTGTACCGGAAACTAATTCCTTGTGTGTAACATACTTGGCCAGTAAAGGTGATTATCCTTTATCCTATTAGTTCATGTTGTCCTGCTGACAAAATATAAACCTTGAATGGATCCCATAAAAGCAGCTGTAGGTGTACAGTATATAAAGTGGGTGATGTAGCTTTGCCAGGCTCCAGTTCCTGAGGACAGCCATCAGTTTCTGCATCGTTTCAGTTCGATTCCCGGCGTGTCCAGTCAACGTGTCACAGTGTCCTTGAGCAAGACACTGAACCCCCAGTTGTTCCATGTGATAACACCGGCGTGTGAATGTGTGAGCGTTTGTGAGTGTGAATGGGTAAATGGCCAAGTAGTGTGAAAGCGTTTTGAGTGTGCTGCAATGCATTGAAACACACTACACAAGTATAAGACCATTTAAAATCAATTATATCTTATTTGGATATTCATATCGTATCTTAAAGACCTTGTAGAGCCTTATCATCCTAACAGAGCACTTCGCTCTCAGAGTGTAGGTTTACTTGTGGTTCCTAGAGTCCACAGTAGAATGGGAGCCTTTAGCTATCAAGCTCCTCTCCTATGGAACCAACTCCCAGTGTGTTTGTTGTGTCTTTGTTGCTTTTCTCTCTCCTTTATCACCCCAACCAGTCAAGGCAGAAGGCCACCCACCAAGAGCCAGGTTGTTGGAGGTTTCTTCTGTTAAAGGCAGTTTTTCCTCCCCACTGTCGCCAAGTGCTGCTCAAGGGGGATTTGGTGGGATTTTCCTCTATAATGATAATAGCAAGGTCTAGACCAGGGGTTCTCAACCTTTTGTAACTTTTAAGGCCCACTTTTGATTGCAAAATAATTTGCGAGGACAACCTTTCCAAAAAAATGAGAAAAAAACATGAAATACAACGCCCATAAGGGGCCGCTTTGAGGCCCACCAGAGGGCCACAGACCACTGGTTGAGAAGGGCTGGTCTAGATCTTACTTTGTAAAGTGTCCTGACATGCCTTTTGTCATGATTTGGCGATATGCAAATAAAACTGGATTCAATTGAATATTAATAGTACTCAACATTAAACACACATTTTTTTATATTGCCCATTTATTTTAGTGTCATACAGCCAATTCTACATTGGTTGTTCCACTCAGGAAGTTCAACTCAATATTAGTTGCTGAATCATCACCACTTTGTGAATTTCAGAATGATCTTCTCATTTGCACTGGGAATGTAACATCCAATACCTATAAACCAGATTCATAGAGTGTGTTATAATCAGATTTACAATAAAAAAGAGTGATCAACAGGAATCTAGTAGTGGACCTACCAACATCAGGCGCTGTGATTTTGCCATCTGCACTCTGGACCAGCAGCTGCCAGTATGTGTGTTCTTCATCATTTCCAGCTACATCATTCACACTCTCCAGGTATGGGCCATAGTTCAGATTCTCTGTGTAGGTGAAGCTGCAGGACCAAACAGAAGAGCAAATACATTTCTTTGAACTGGTTAACAGCTCCACTCACAATGAACAATCATTGATGCATTTGGGTGATTGTCACCAGGGCCCTGCTCTTCAAACTTGGCTTAACTAATAAGACAAACATCTTTTTATTATTTACTGTAATTCTTATGCAGCTAAATGGGTTCTTGGAATGCGGACAGAGGACAGTCTGCCCTTAGTATGAAATAAAGGCAAAAGTATGCAGAGAGAAAAACTAACCAACTGTAAAGAGCTGAAACCATGATCAGCACTGATATGCCTGGCTGAGTACTGATCATATGCAGGCATGTACTGTGATCCATGAGAAAACATTTTATTTTCCATATGTGTTGAAATGACAACAAACTTGGACTTGGATAATAATGCATTGTAATTTGCATCTGAAAACTGTGAATGAGCAACAGTTGCTTTTAAGCTACTGTAGCTGAAAAATCCAGACTTGAAATCACCAGCAATGAAATCAAGCTAAATCAACTGTACAAAAAAGTGTGTATTTCAGAGATGCACACATCATTTGCAGGTCCTTTGAAGTATTTTGTGTTATATGCCTAGGACTTGAAATACTATTGCACAGTAGTATGTTTATCTACTTAGAAAATGTTACAAATAAAGATATAGTTGTTTTCATGTTGCACACCCACACAGGTGACAGCTGATATTATGATCTTACTTAAAACTTGCATTGGAGTCCACCAGTCTCTTCAATGCACCCAGTAGGATCCCTCTGTAAGCCACATGAGTGGTGTAGTTCAACAGAGGGGCGTCTGTTAAGCTGTTCTCCACCACCACATCCAAGGGAGATAGTGTACCAGCTGAATGATAGATGACAAAAACAGCAGAGGAAGCACTGGTAAGGAGATTTTTGAATATTCAATAACAATCATTTGAAATGAAACTGTATGAATGCTTCAGAAGCTTACATCCCGTCAGAGTCCCAGGCAGCAGCAGCAGCAGAATGGCTGCAGAGAGGAGAACGGGCATCATCGCCATGGCTGTCGGATAACAAACTTAGCTGACTGCAAACTTACTTATACTCCAGTTATCACTGTTTACAAAATGACTGGGCCGAACTTTGTTGATTTAATTTTGTAATATCTGTTAATGTTTTACACAGAGCCAGCCTGAATGTCACCTTGAATTTCTGTTATGACATTTTGATTCAAACATTCAAACACACTCCTCCATCTCTCCCTTAAGGTGTACTGATGCACAGATTATTGCTAAGTGTCATTTTCCCTCGTTTTCTTCTTTTTTTTTTTTGTACCAGCTGGGGTCTCATTAGACCTCCAGGACATTACATTGAACCCTGTGGACATTCAAAACACATTCTACTGTTGGAAAGACAACTATTGTATAATGTGTATCATTGCACCTCTGTGGGAACTATGGATTTATAGTTGATGCAGTGAGCCGTGGTAAATGCTTTACTGTCCCAACTTTTTTTTTGGAATGTGTTGCAGTATCAGAATTGAAGTGAGTTTATTTTGAACAAAGAATAAATTTGATGATGTATCACATCAAATAATGTGCTGCTGTATTGTTTTCAATGTAATACAGGACACCGACAGTTTACACTATTTTCGGTTTTAATTTCAATTTTACATTCTGTCCCAACTTCTTCTGATTTGCTGTTGTATTTTCCTGTTATTATCGATGTAAATGAACTCACTGCCAAATGTAGGAGCTTGTTAAAATCCAAACGTGATTTTTACTGGGGCACGTGCTCCAGTAAAAGGGATCTAACAACACCTATGGCATTTGTTATTTTCCTGAAATCTGTAATTAGTAGTCAGGCAGTGCGCAATGCAGGGAAGTCAGAACAAAAGGGTGGGATTTCTTTAGTTGGCTACTTTCAAAATTGAGCTTCCTCTTGCTGGTTTTTCCAGGATTGCCAGCCCTACCTTTAACACACATATACTTTGTCTAGGGACAGATGTTTTTTGCATACGCAAGATGAAATATGAAATTTTTAGAAACAGCCAACTGGAATTACCTTCAATATGTGGTTGCAACATGACATGATGACTTTCAGAGAGGGGAACTCTTGTTAATTTATGAACTTTAAAAAGCCTTGATGGCAGATCCAGGCAATATGGGAATAAAAACGGAAAACAGAAGATGTAATAAACAGCTGTGGACTACATCTTCCATCATGCCAAGTTTGAGGAGTTAAAGGGACTACATTTTATTCTTTGCTTTGCATAATTCAGGACGGATGCTGGGCACAAGAATACTGAACTACTTGACATTATTTGAATGGGTGGATGGATGGAAGACAAGCAGACAACAATACAGACTTGTGTTTATGTCATGCCCTGGAAGATGGGAGTGGAGTTTAAAAATGAGCAACATCAACAAAGAGACAGCAGTGATCCAGCTCAGCCCAGAAATGGGCTCTGCTGCTCTCTAGTGGCCTGTGCTATGTACACCCACACACAGAGCTGCCAACAGACTTGCCACTGGCAGTCCAACCAGCTTACAGAGGCACTCTGCTGCAGCACAAACACTGTCAGGGGAATCATATACATACTGTAAAAGAAAAGTTCATTTTTAAAGACAGTTAGCTACAAAGAAGGTGGATTACTGGTATTAGGAAAGAAAAAGGTGTCATTTGGGTATAAATTAACTACAAAGATTATCTGGACTGAACTGCGAAGCCTTTTTATCCTAAATAGTGCTGCTGTACCAGGACCCCAGGTTGGTAGTCAGGGCCCACAAGTTGCATCTGTTTGTCATGACATCACTGGCATGGGACAGCAGGCTGATTCTTAAAAGCCACTGAGAAATAGGTGACTTACTATCACTGCAATTTTAGACAGGTTATACTCTTTCTTTTCTTTCCATTGTGCCTGAATAGAAGACAGAGCAAACACAATGGAATTATTCCTTAAAGATCCCATGACATGCTCATTTCCAGCCATTTCATGTTTATTCTTGGGTACCTCTAGATTAGCTTTGCACCCATCATGACTCCAAATAGTCTGAAATTTTTTCTGAACAATAAAACCCGAGAGCCTACTGCTGAAAATGAGAGGACAGTTTGTGAACGTGCACAACTTCTGCTGCTGGTGTTATGTCTTAATCTGTTTCACACATCTCAGTGGGGGGACAGATTTCGACACAAGACTGGTCAGGAAGCCAGGACAACGCATAAACAAAACACTTTGACAAATAAGCTGTTTTTGACAATGACAAATACCTCAAATCCTACCTGACATGTTCAAGCCAGAATATAGAAGATGGCTTGAACATGTCAAAAAGTGGACAGCACAATGAGCCGCAAGAGCGTTAATATGAATTTCTCCTCCATAGACAGGTAAACAACAATACATATACCGATGAAAAGAGATGTGTAACACTCTAAACAAAGTGGGTAAATGAGAAATCCCATATTTTAACTGGCATAATGCTGACATAGCAACTTTCCCAGCCTTGCAACAATTCTCTACAGAAACAACGCATTAACAGACATACAGTGTGTGTTGGTTACTGTTACATCCCACCGAGTAGTGGAAACTTTAAGGTCAGTAAATCCAACTAGTGGTCGCTGCATCTTCCACCACAAATCCCTTGAGTTACAGGCAGTGACATTCCCAAAGCAGTGAAATTACAATTCCAACAGGTAGCCTTGCACCAACAATAACATCATAGCTGGTTAGAATCCTCTCGCCAACACATCACATGCAGCAGACACACTGGCCTCAAGCAGTAAAAACAAACAGACACTGTGCTCTGGGGGAATCCCGAGCTGATGAGCTGATCATTCACCACCCCAGGGGGCTTCTCTGGCTGCTTGGTTGTAGGTTAGACCCAGTCAGGTAAAACAGCGAGTCCCTGTACAGGAACATTCCTGGACATGCAGTAACCTCAGGCTCTGTATTTTTCTCCACATCCTGTGGTCACAGAGCAGCAGGAGGTAAAATATATCCACAAAACCGCACACAGTTGAAAAATTCCAGAGATTATCACCGGTCAGGGAAATCCGTGAACTGTTAAGCAGGAAAAAAGTCTCATTTGTGAGAGTTTGTGAGAGTTTATATAAACCAAATTGCTTCTGCACGGAAGTACAACATAGGTACAGCTCATTTTTTGAGCTTTCAGTCATGTTTATAATTGACCATTGTAACATTGTAGATAGGTCAGAAAACAGAAAAGCATGTAATGGGCTCTTTAATAAAGTAAAATATCAGTTATCTGGGATACAAGAAAGCTAAATTAAAATACAAAAATTAAAGATCCTCTAATTAAAGATGCCTCTGTTCTGTCCAAGATGCTAACCCAAAACCACGCTTCCTTTCAAATTTCATATCCAGGGTGCAGCCAATGATCAGTCCACATGTCCTTGTCTGGTTGATCAGTGACACAGTCCATTATCTTGCTAAATGAACAGTTAATCCCATTAAAGGTAACACAATACAATGCTTTACTTTCATAAGATAACGCCCCCATACAGCAATCATCTTTCTGTTGGATATTCTAATCTGTGCATGCCTATGTTCAGGCATGCACAGATCTTTCTGGTTGTATTGTTGAACAGTATTTATAACACTGATGAAATCTTATTTTTGAAAAAGATTAACAAAAAGTTATATCAAAAAATCAAAAATAAATCAATGCAGATTCCAACATTATGGAGAGCAAAACATTTTATTACTAACACTGGAATAGTTCTGTTTGTATATTATTATAATACAGAAACTAACTGCTTTACAAAAACAAAATGATACAATATCACATGTATCAAATCAAATCAAATTTTATTTGTATAGCGCCAAATCACAACAAAAGTCATCTCAGGACACTTTACAAAGTAAGGTCTAGACCTTACTGTTATCAATATTATTACATAGGGAAAACCCAACAAACCCCCCTTGAGCAAGCACTTGGCGACAGTGGGGAGGAAAAACTCCCTTTAACGGAAGAAACCTCCGACAGACCCCGGCTCTTGG